GATATACTGTTATAAACATTCATGTATAAGTATTCATGTGGACATATTTTTCATTTCTCTTGGGTAGATATCTAAAAGTTGAATTGCTGGATTGTACTTTAAGTTTATATTTCAGTTTTTAAGAAATTGCCCAAATGTTTCTAGGTGACTATACCATCTTACAGTCCTATCAACAATGGATGAGTATTGCAGTTGCCAAATTCTAGCCAACGTTTAGTAATGTATTATTTTTATTATTATGAAAAGTCTCATCTGTGTGCAGTGGTATCTCATTATACATATATTAGCTATATGTCTTCTTTGTTTAAGTATCTGTTCAAGTATTCAGCTTGTTTTTTTATTTAGTCACTTATATTTGTATTTATTCATATATCTAGGCATTTATTCATTTGGATACAAGTCCTCTATTGGACATGTGATTTGCAAATATTTTCTTTAAGTCTATAATTTGATTACTTTCTTAATAGTGTGGGATTTTTTGAAACACAAACCGTTTAGATTTTGAAGTAGGAAAATTCATCCTGTTTTGATAACAGTGACTTTGGTATAATATCTAAGAAATTTTTGCAAAAACAAGTCACTAAGACATTTCTTTTGTTTTCTTCTATAAGCTATATGTGTATGTGTGTGTGTGTACATATATATGTTTCTTATATGCATGCTGTATCTTTATCGCTGCTGTATCTACATGTTTGTGCTCTTCTCCCTCCAGAATTTATTGTCACTAAAGCAATAGTAATGGAAAAAAATAACAATTTACAATGACAGAGAAAACAGGAAATATGATGTAGCAGAAAAGTAACTATGGATAACTCAGTGTAATTAATTTAGAAAGGCCCATATTAAGGATATAGTACTGAAATTTCAAATCACAAGGTATAGAGAAATGCTATTAATAACTGCCAGAGAAAGGAAAAATATTCTAAACAAAGTGTAGAATACTTGAGTGGCATCAAATGTCTCAACAGTTAACGCCAATAGCTAGATGAAAATAGAACATTTTTATACCTTAGGGTGAAAATTACTTTTATCCTGGCATTCCATACCCAGCTAAAATAACAATTAATTTGGAGGGATAATTTCTATATTTTCAGACATGTGATGTCTCAAAAATGTGTCTGTAGCTTCACTCTCCCTCAGGAAACTATTGGAGGAGATGCTACAACAAATTGAGGGATGAAACCAAGAAAAAAATGTGTGGCTGCAGGAAAAAGAATTATACAGATTCCTAGGCAATGGTGAAACAAGTCTCAAGATAATAACTATAAGTCTAAAGAAAATCCAATCTAGATGGAGCAAGAAACTTTAAGTGTTCTAGAAGAAGCATTTCTAAGCAAAGCAATGAAAACTAATTGAACATCTTACATTTGCCACAGAACTGACAAATCTCTAAGAATTAGTAGCTATTATCAGATCGGTACATAGAAAGCTATGCATACAAAAACAATGCAATTATTATTCAGTCTTGTGTAAACAAAATTAGAACAAGAAACAAAATGTTATAATGTGCTGTGTGACTCAGTGATGAATAATTGCTACAGTCATTTTAATATAAACAATGACTATTGTGCTAAAATATTATTAAATTACAAAGATGAAAGGAAATGTATGTGAAGAGGCATGTAGGGCTGGAGGTGGAGAAAGTACTCCTCCTCTTCCTCACCGAGAAGTCAATGAGTGTCTAAATTGAAAAAAATAGAAATCAAGAACATAAGTATTAATCTGTTATTTAAAAATAAGGAGGGGATAAAGAAGAACCCCTAAAACTATTAAAATAGTTTCTTGATGGGTGTATAAATTATCAGTGGGGTAGGAACAGCAGCAGTTATCTACTTCATGTCATACATCTGTTAAAATCACTTGCTTGTTTTTAAGTATGCTTTTCTAAATAAGAAATTTAAAATGCCAAAAATAAGATAATTTTATGAACATATTTTTTAACATGTTGCTTTCTCAATTGTCATTTTAAAAGCCATTCTAACTTCCATTTTTTATGAGCTACATTAAGTTAACTCACAAGAGAGAAACTGACTCCAATAAGGTATTTGCATGATGGACAAAGAAAAAACCAAGTGCAAAAGTGTGTTACATCAATTTGTTGGGAAAATTCCATCAGGAAATGAAGTTGTCATTTTGTTACTACCCTGTTTTAACTAGCAAAACACTTCTGCTATAGGATATGCTACTTTCATTTCCTGTGTTTTATTTCCCTCCAGATATCATCTAAGCTGGATGCACAATAATTAAAATTCATAAGAACAGATGTTGCTCCGTCTCTGTCAGGCACTGTGTAAATGTTTTGATGTATCATTCCTTTCAGTTCCAGGAGTGACTGTACAACAGTAGTGCATAAGTTCTTAGGACTGCTGTAAAAAAAAAAAAAAATGCCATAAATTTAGTCAATAGCTTAAAACAACAGGTATTTATTACCTCACAGCACTGAAGATCAGAAGTACAAAATCAAGGTGTTAGCAGAACTGAGCTCCTTCTGAAGTCTCTATGGGAAAGTCCTTTCTTGCCTATTCTAGCTTCACTGACTCTGGGTGTTCCTTAGTTTGTGGTTGCAAAAAATTCCATCTCTGCCTCTATCTTCACATAATCTCTCCCTTTGTCCCTGTGTGTCTCTCATTGCACCTAAGTAGAGACCAACCAGATAATCCAAGTTTACTTTATCTTGAAATCCTTAGCTTATTACATATGCCAAGTCCCCATTTGTCAAATAAAATCATATTTACAATTTCCAGGGACAAGGCCACCATTTCACCCATGAAAAATGGATTATAATGGAGAGGAAATATCACTTGGTGTTCACTTTAGTGAACTATCATATTTGAACACATGTAAAGCTAAGTCTGAAATCTCAATGCCTTGGGGAGTAGATGGTGAAAATGTTCAGAAAAAAATGTGAGATTACAGAGAAATTTCATAAACAAGCCACTGATTTTTCCCTGTTTATATTAACCCCTTCTGGGCCTCCCTGGTGGCACAGTGGTTGAGTGCTGGGCTGCGAAGCTGCCCGCAGGCTCTGCAGTGCAGGTTCGATCCCCAGCAGCTGGCGAGGATCCCACATGGCGCGCAGACCTCTCCTGCAGTGCCCTCTGCTCCCCTCAGTAGTGTACTTTGTCAGTCTGCCTGTTCTGTTCCCTGTTCTGGCTCTGGTGAATTTGCTCACCCTCCCGCACTTCTGACTGTACCCAGTGCTTGTATAAATAAATAAATAAATCTTAAGAAAGAAAGAAAGAGAGAGAGAGAAAGAGAAAACAGAATGGATGAGCAATTCCTAGATAACTGGGAGTAACTCTTTTAAGTATCAGTACCAGTCTTCCTGGTGGGCATTAGATATTGTTCACACTGTACATAGAACACATTTAACATAATTTAGCCATTCGTTTCATTTATTCAATCATCTGAATTATTTGCTAACACATCCTTTTCCTTCTAACCACTGAATATAGGCTTTCAATACTTACACTCTCGAACTTCTTTTCACTCAACATTCTACTTTCATCTATAATTTCCATATCTATGCTTCTCAAATTGAAATCTCAAATACTAGATTGTCCCCTTAAATCAAGACGTGCATTCCAAACTGCCTGCCTGCCTGTTGTTTCTCTAACCCTTAAACTCAACTAGTGTGGGTCTACTACTCCTAGGCAGCCTATTCGGCCGCCATTTGTCACTTTTTTTTTTTTTTTCCCAAAGCTTATTCTCTCCTTTGCCAGGTCTTCTCAGCAGCAGCAGCATTTCCCTAGTCATTCAAATTGAAGCTACCGAGAGATTTTTAAGATTACATTTCTTCTTAAATCCTAGATCAAATAGAGCCATCATCTCTGATCTAGGAAAGTTCTCTTCTTTAAATTTCTACCTATTCATAATCTCCCCAGATATCCAATCCAGTTGAAAATAAAAGCAAAGATGGATGGAGAAGGTAAGACATTTAGCTCTAGGTAAGACATGTAGTTCTAGTTTTTCAGTATCTTACTAAGCCTAGACTATTCGTTCATCATAGGTCAATGGAACAGAAAGGTAGACAGGCAGATGGATGGATGGGTGGCTGGCTGGCTGGCTGGCTGGATAAATGTAGAGAGATCTCTACTTCCTTTTATTTATATAATATATGTGTATATATCCTAGATTTTAAAATACATAACACCATGATTCTCCCCCTCCCCGCATTTTACCAAAAACTTGCTACAAATATATTCTAACAATATTGCCATGACAGACTCTCCCATGGTTTGTGTTTGCTATGATCGGCAAACCATTAACATCCTGTTTAGGCAATCAATGCCCTTTATCCCCACATCTTTGCAAACAGAGTTTTGCTTACATTTCAGAATATTTTCTTAGGATCCTGTACCAGAAAATCAATTATTAGGCTAAAGGCTATGCACTTTTAATATTCTCAATACTTATTAATATTTTTAATATTCTTGATACTTATTGACATAGTTATACTTTTCTTTGCAGAAAAGTTGGTGTTCTTTCCTTTTGGGTTAAATCCCAAGATAATATTTTGTAGCAACAGAAAAAAAATGGAGAGCAGTGGGGGCATCAGTCTTCAACTGTCACAAGGGTCATGAAAATTTACTCAATAAAAGTCCTAACCCAAGCATAGTGCATGGAGGTTATTCAAGAAATCTCTGCTCAGTCTTTCTGGAGCCCAATATGTAAGTGCAACATGGGGTATTAAATTGTCAATTCATGTACTGAGCAGAAGGCATCTCTAGCCTCTGAGTTCCTTGAGATATTTCTACTGGCCTGCACACTTGAGTGTTTAGTTCAGAGATAATTTTCAATAAACTGTTGTCACTTGAAAATAAACAGTCTGGACAATGTATGGTCCATTTGGAATACTGAGAAAATAAACAATGAGGATGTGCTTCCTTCTTGTCTTTCAAGGCCTTTTTGGAATGTATTGCACCCGATATTTCACTTTCTTCCTGAAAGCAGAAGGTTTTGTTTAAAATAAAGCTGTTGTGTGGCACTCTGGGTGACTCTTTTTGAAGAACCACAGCAATGGGCAACTTTGGAACCCCACTTAGAAGAAACCAGTTCATCCTCTTGGTGCTCTTTCTTTTGCAAATTCAGAGTCTTGGTCTGGACATCGATAGTCGTCCTGCCACTGAAGTCTGTGCCACACACACAATTTCACCAGGACCCAAAGGTGAGGAAAGAAAACGAGATTTCCATATATAATAAGTAAGCTCTCTTCCTCTGTCTCTCAACTCCATGCTAGCTCTCAATTATTTTCTTCTCTCCTCCCTAGCACCTGCCCGCCTTCCTTCTACTTTGGAAAATCAATACCTTATCACTCATTTTGAAACTCCCCTGCATTCTAGGTAGGAGAGCACTGGCGGGGAAAGAGCCTGGGGCAGGGATGTGTTAAGACTCTTCCAGATCAGGGGAAAGTCCCTCTGTCATGCTATTCCAAGGAAAGATAACCCAAGCAAAGCATCAGACTTAGGGAATCCTCTTCTTAAGAGCATTACTAATTTGGGGAAGTTTTTTCCAATGCGTCTCGTGCTGATTCTGGTAAAGCAATTAGACAAAAGTTCAGTAAAGGAAAAATTAAATCTTCTGTATATTTCATAAGTTAATGGGCTCTTGAGTTCCAACAAAGAGGAAAAATTTTGTCAAGGATTAGCAGTAGTATATAAAAGAATGTTTCTGTATTTGAGAGTGGAGTCTTCGGGGCCAAGTGCCTTCAGCTGAAGGATGATAGAATTTTGCAAAATTTTTCAAGTAGAGCCAAGGTCCAAATGTGCTTCAAGCAACGGGTTGATTAAAAATGCTGCTGTTTTCCTGGTTTCTGCTCTGACCCTTTTGTTCTAAAAGTGGTCACTGCAGTGCAAATTGGTGCTCCCTCATTAGTAATTCATGTGATGTTTCTCCAGGCTAGAGGGTGGAAGAATTGCAGCTGTTTAAAATTTTAAGTAGAAAAAAGGATCTTTCAAAGAAAAGCAGAAATACATCGCCCTATGCTTGTCAGTTATTTAAATGTGTATTGCTTAAAGTGCATGTTTCTTAATCAGTGAATTAATTTCCTCCTAAGATTGCAATCCAAGTTCTAACCTTTGATACCATAAAATAAATGCAGGGAGGGACAATGAGACCTTGGGGCTTTCAAATAATTTCTTGGGTGAATAAATGAATAATGTGAGGGCAAATGTTCAGAAAAGAAAGTTTCGATTAGAAATAATGTGTTTACTTAAAACCATTTCTGGATTTTCCATGGAATATATGAAACTTTGCATTACTCTTGGAGTGTCATGGAGAATGCTGAAAATTCAAGTTTTCCTTGTGCCTGCAGATAAGCGAATCCATTTGAGAATAGAGCCATTAAAGAACTTACTTGCAGGGAAATTGCAACTTTCAAACTGGCAGAATGGAACAAAGTGTTGTTATAATAATGCCCAAAATAAAATGCATTCCAATTCAACAATTCTATTCTAACTTACCCAACATATATTGAATACCTACTAAACGCCAAGACCTGTATAAGGCACAAGAGATGCATAACTGATAAATATTAGTGTCACGAGCATGGAGAGAAGAATTCAGGAAGGAGAGCATAAGACAATTCACATTTGTAGGATGTACCCACTGTGAGTTTCCCTATCATTTCTTTACCTAACAGTTTCTTCTTTCCCGTTAGAAACCCTATGGAGATTTCAAACAATGGAAGCCCCTTTAACCTTGTGCTGAGCCTGTGTACAAAGTATGAAATGATTAGACATCAGAAGTGTGACAAGAAGTCAGTGTCCCTGGGAGGCAGAGACTTGAAGAGGCCTCTAGAACCCTAAGTCTATAATGGTCCTGACATGATTTCTTTGTCTTCCCCTAGAGCCTGGGGGTTTTGCATCAAATGGGTATCAAGTTCCTTCCTTTTTTAAAGAGATTCCATGATTCTGGAATGTCTACTAAGTCCCAGGTATTATGTGAGATGCCAAATCTTTCCAGCCCAGGAAGAACTTGAGTGGGATACATATATATATTTCGAGCTGAGCAGTACCACAGGCTTGTAGGGTCAGGGCCCAGTCAACTCACGTTTGTCTCTGGATCGCCTACACAGGCACATGCAGAGCAGAGCAGCCTCTTCATCACTGCCTGTCACTTTTCCAGGCACAGGGCTCCATGTTGAGCAATACAAAAACAAGGCATGGTTTATATCTTCTCTCTCTCAAGATAAGAACTGCCATCTACCACACCTCTCCCCTTCATTAACACAGTGCCCCGGCCCCGCCCTGCCCGCCAAAAGGCAACTTTTATCTATTTAGCTCTCAATAAAATGAAAAAAAAAAAAAGAGATAAAAAATTGATGACTCAGTAAACACATTAAAGGACTGGCTTATTGCTTCTGTTTGATGGATAATTTTCCTAACATCAAGTTGGTCTATATATTTCTCCATTGCTCATCATCTCAATACTATATTTACTAAGCACTGTGCTCAGAAACTTCAAGATATTCTGAGAAACTAAAAATAAAAAGAAATTTTCACTAAATTTACTTGAAAAATCAGGACTAAATAAATTATTTAGAGTTCCAGGTGAAAAACCAGTAATACTAACCTTCATTTAATATGCTGTCCATATTATTTTCCAGTCACAACTTAGTGCAAAGAAAGTCACTGTGTTCAATCTGTTTGGCCTTCAGAGTGTGATTCCATCTATTTATGCTTCGGTTTCTTCATTTGCAAAATGGACCTTCATTATATAGATTCTGCTTTAAGAATAATATAAGGTAATTAACATAAACTCTGTGTTGTATAGACATAATACATAGATATTTGACACATACTATTCAAATTTCCTTCCTTTCCCTGTCTACTGAGTAACAATTCTGAGAATAAGCATTGTTCCAGTTGTTAAAACTACTTTGTTCAACATTATTTTTCTTTCTATGCCTTAAGTTTATTATTTTAGGCTGTGGGAAAATGGTTTTTTCTCCTATCCTAGCAGCTTCTTTAACAACTTATGTGAAATTCTGACCTCTAGTGACTTTACTGGAGAACAACAATGACAAGAAATTTTAAGATACGATAAAAAGAATTTTAAAACTGTAAGAAATATTTGGGTGATGCTTTATCATTTTCAAGGACATTTCAAATACACTATCTTTCCTAATCTTCATATTTCTCCCTCTGTGGCAGCGATTATTATAAACTTAAAAATAAGGAAACAGTCTTAATGAAGTCTAATGCCCAAGTTCTTTGAAATAGAAATACCAGTCAGGCAACTTGAATTTCAACCCTGGCCCTCTGGCTCTGTAGATTCCATGAATCCACTGGTTTCTATATCAATTTGAAAATGCAGTCCACGGACACCTTTTAATTAGAAAGGGATAGGACAATGCCTAAGAATGTGGAGTTCATTCAACCACAAATTCCAACATTGTATTGAAAGCTAAAATATGCGGAAAGGAATGAGATGCCTCCTCTTTGACAACGAAGTCTACTATTTCATTAGTTTATTTGCAAATTAGTAATATTTCGCCCCATTGCTTATTCTGGCTTCTGCTAGCTCCTGGCTTCTCCCTGATTCTCCCACATCATTTCAAACTGCTTTTCCACTTGTAGTTTGCTCTGAGCATCTTTACTTTTTCATTCCTGATGCAGAATCTTTGCACTAGATCTCTGTATCAGCTCCTCTGTCTGACTCAACCTTACTACCCCACATCATCCCCAAAACTGCTTACTCTCCTCATTCAGACTTTAGCCCAAATGTCATTTGCACAGCAAGTCTTCACCTTCACTCTCAATGATTGTTTCCAACACATTATATTACTTTCGTAAACTTCCTACTAAACGAAAATTTTTCTTGGTATCTGCATATGTACCACCAGTCTGAGAATACAAGCTTCAGGAGTGCAAGGAATCTGTCTTGCTGAGTGTGGTTTCCATCTGCCTACAAGAGTTCGTGACACAGTATAGGTGTCAAGATAAACATATTTGATTGACTTAACCATTGAAATGTTCTATGATTTACTAGCATTTTAACTTGTGGCCTTGACCTATGAATACAGGAAATGCTTGGAAATGCTCTTCAAGTATTTCCTACAGTTCCCCGCCCCCCAAAACAAAACAAAACAAAACAAAACACTGCTCCGGGAGAGAAGTGTTTCCATCACTTCTTCAATGGCCAAAATCTTCCACCAGTGGCCACCAATTTTCTGTGAGGACATCATTCTCAGTCTCCTGTGCCCACTCACTTGATGCTACTTCACTCGGTAAAGGAATTCCACTCCTTCTGAGAGCGCCGCAGCTCCCACATGTAGCCATCATGAAGCCACAGGCGTGGCTTGTGATGCCTCCAGGGACCTCTTCCTGAGAACCCTGATGACAGCTGCAATCATGGCATCGGGAGCAGAAATGCTAACACACCCGGGCAGTTGTCATGTGCTGGTGCAAGTGCTGTACAGTCACTTTGAAATGTAATAATCTCTGGGGACTTTGAGAAAGAAAACATTCTCTTCATTGGGCAGATTAAGAAACTGAGGTTCAGCACTATTAAGTCCCTAGACTTAATAGCTAGAAGGAGCTGGTGGAAACTTGATCTGTTTTAGCTGCAGGCTCTGATCAGAAGACCTTTTCTTGCACAGTGTCGACTTCCTCCACACTTTCGTGGAACTGGAGGAAATAGCTGTTCCAGTCTTGGCTTAAAGCGCCCTAGTCCCTGTGGGGCTGCGCACAGTAGATGCGGGACTACTCATGACTCTGGGGGGTAGGTGGCAGAGACCAGAGGACCCTTTGTCTGGAGTGATCTCTCTTTGCTGACTCCTTGGCTTCTAGGAAATGCACTCCTATCTGGCTCTCTGCTTTGCTGAACACAGCCTTGGATTCCAGCAACTGGCACCACTTGTGATTTCTCTCGTGTCTTCTTGGACTCCGAAGCAATGTGACTTCCCCAGAAAGGATGGCCAAATAGGCCCAGGAATATCTGGAATGCTTTCTCATCCAAATTGGGAGCTTCAGTCAGAGACAATTTAGTTTACCCCCAGTTATTTGTGAAAACAGAGTTCCAGGGTAAAATAACTTGTTCTCGGTCACACAGCCAGTTGACCAGGTTCCCCAGCCAGTCTCTGTTCCATTGCTCCGTGTTATATCATTGTCCTCACGTTTTATCATTCTCATTAAGCATGAAATGATCCTTCTTTCAATTTTATCA